GAGGGGGGGAGAGAGAGAGAAAGAGGGGGGAGAGAGAGAGAGAAAGAGGCATAAAGAGGGCAAAAGGAGATGGCAGAGAAAAAGGGAAAAGCGGAGAACTTTCGCCATTAAAAAATCTGCACTGCAAAGTTTGGTGAATGTTGCAAAAGTGAAAAAACGAAAAAAAGTTGATTGTTCCAATGCGGAGATGAATGAATTTTCTACTTACCACCACACTATGGCACCCATGTTCCTCTTCTTCCTCTTCCTCCTCCTCCTCATGGTGAACCTCCAGATGCGAGAAGAGGTCGGTGATGAAGTCCTGAAGTTTGTCTACAGACAACACATGGGGCCCTTCCACCATCTCCTTCTCGAGAATTTCGTGAAAAACGTCGATACGTCCTTCATGCTCTTCGTGATCGTCGTGGGACTCCCCTGGAGCGTGGCTCGCCGAGTGCGAGCACTGAGGCAAGGCGAACAACGTTGTAACTAAAAGAATGCAAATGGCGGAATCCTTCATCTTTCTGGGTGGGAAACTTGTTCACAAACTTTCACAAAACGTTCAGAAAGTGTTCCAAACTATCCTCACCAAATTGTCGAGACGACTGAAGTACCTGCGAGTTTGCGGGCCTCTATAGGCTTTATATAGGGGTTGTGGCAAGTCTTATTTCGCGGATTGAACCCTGATTTGTCGGAGTCGAGAGCTGCGTGCCGTGTGCACAACCACAACAAAATGGCTTCTTCGTTCATTCGCCGTCCTGTCTAAACTGTCGCCACGCTTGGTGTGTTGTGGCCGTCCGCGTCACTGGTTGGTCCGCTCGGGGGTCACGTGGCGGGTGTGCGTGGGGGAGGGGAGGGGACGGCGTGGAGCGTCAGGCGTGAAGAGAGAGGGAGAGGGTAAGGGGGGAGGGGAGGGAGGAAGAAGGGAGAGAGAGAGGCGACGCGGGACGAGCGAGGAGAGAGTTCCCTGTGGGCTGTGGGTGGCTGCCCCCACCAGGTTATACTTATAGGCCGACATTGACAAGGAAGTTACAGGTACAGGTTACACAAGTTACACTAAGTTACAGGTACATAGATCATTCTTTGGTCCTGGCTGGGTGTCGTGAGGAGGGGGTGAGGAGGGGGGTGA